TAAAAAAAAAATTTTTTTGGAGAAAAATAGGGGTTTTCCCCAAAAATTAAATTTTTTTTTTAAAAAAGGGTTTTTTTAATTGGGCATTCCCCCCCGGTTTTGTTTTAAAAAAAAAAAAAAATTTAAATAAAATTATTTTTTTTTGGGAAAATTTTTTGGTTTGGAAACAAAATTTTTGGTTCTTTAAATTACAAAAGGGTTAAAAGGACCCCCCTTTTTTTTGGACGAATTTTTTTATTTAAATTTTTTTTTAAAAAAAAAAAAAAAAAAAAAAAAAAAAAAAAAAATTGATCTTGTTTATTTTAAAATTCAAAAAGAGATAGTATGAGATTACTAAATTTTTTTTTAAAAAAAATTATAAAAAATAAAAATAAAATATTATTTTATAACAACCCCAAGACATTTGAAGAAAAGGAAAATATAAACTACAAAAGAACTATATGATAATTTAAATTTTAATTAATTAAAAAAAAAAAAAAAAAAAAAAAAAAAATCTTGTTAAGAGTGGTGTTGGTGAGTGAATATAATGATATTGGTATTAAACAATAATAGAACCACACAATACAATTATTGGGCTCTGTTACCAACAACAAGACAATATTAGTACGATGACAACAGTAAAAAAAAAAACACGCCACTATACAAAATATTATAATGTAATTCTTTTTTTATACTTTTATTTATTTATTTTTATTCTTTTATAAATTCTTTTATTCTATTTTTTAATTATTTATTTATTATTTATTTATTTAATTTTTTTTTTTTTTTTTTTTTTTTTTTTTTATGGATTGATTTTTATTATGATTACTATAGCCCCCAAAAAATTACAATAACAAACAAAACACAATATTATAAATGACCCCATATTATAGTTGTTAGTTTTTTTTTTTTGTGACTCTTGATTTTTTGGTTTATTAGTAACACAAGGATATATATAGAAACTATTTTTCTTTTTGTCAATAACAAACCAACTATAATATGATTTTTGATAAAAAAAAAAAAAATGGGGTTTGATAGTGTTTTTTTGAATTTTGAGAGAGTTAAAAATTGTTTTTTTTTTTTTTGTTTTTTTTTTTGATAAAATAAAAATAAATATTTGATTTGCACACTTGTGTGTCCCTTTTTTTTTGAATATCTAAAAATTAATAAATTTATGGGTACCTTATATTATAGTTTTATTAATTTCTTAGTGAAAGAGGTTCTTCATCGTTTAGTTAATTGTATAGCACAAAAAACCATCGCGATAATAAACATTCTATCACGAAGGTATATTGGGTAATTATTTTTTTAATTTTAGTTTGTGTGGGTAGTTTGATTTTTCTCTATGAGAAAGAATGTGTAATCTAATTTTTTTAAAGTTTTGAGATTATATCTTATTTAATAGTATTATTAATTAACATCATATTGTGTCATGCAAAAATTATTTATTATTTTTATTATTGTTTTTGTTATGTAATAAAAAAATATGATTCTTGTGGGTGGTTTTTTTAAATTAAAAAAATTGAAAAAAAATTTAAAAAAAAATAAAAGAAAAAAATAAAATAAATTATGGGCTTTTCAGCTAAATTGGCCATATAGCCGATGATAATTATAGATTGTTTATAATTAATGTCTTTGTGTAATTAAAGGGGGAGGGTATTTTTTTTTATTTTTAATATTATTTTTTTATTTATTTATTATTGGGGTGCAAACAACCCAACAAACAAACTTTTTATTATAATTTTTTTTGAAATCAATGACAATATTTTTTTTTTTTTTTTTTTTTTTTATTTTCATTATTTACTATTTTTTTTTATGATTAATATTTGGTGTTGTTTATTACAATTGTTTTTGGTTATCGAGAAACGTGAATAACAATTCAAATGGTGTTATAGTTAAGCATGTATATATAAAACTAAACAGTTTATTAGTAAC